TTGATGCAATTGGAGACATAACACACAATAATTTTAACACTTTCCTGAAAGTCCTACTTTCTCTAGCCATGTGTACAACAAAACTAGGAGGAGAGTGATATTACAGTTTGCTTTGATTCTCTATTTACTGGTTTGTAAACTCCCAGCTTTCTAACATCTTTGAAGTAGAATTAAGTAAGTAATGTCACTTCCCATTACTTGTTTACTTTTAATGGAAGTATTTGTACACACTCCACTGTCAGAAATCTTGCTTTTGATTGTAATTCAAAATTGAAGCCTTTAATATTCCAAACAAACACATGAAGTTCATCATTTGTTGATGTTTTAAGGATGTAAAATTTAAGTAGTAAAAGCAATAAATATGTATTTGCTAGAAATTAGATCGCAGGAAATGAGATAATTCAGTTAAAGATGAATATACATTTGCCTATTCAATTTGAACAATAGTCAACATTTTTTCACTACTTTGGTTGGATTCCGATTTCCTCCTCACCTTTCACTTTGAATATGGGAAATTATATGGTAGACAGATCTACGTTTCTTTATCCTCTTTCCACATGTTCCTACATGGATATCTTTTCATATCTTTTTTTACATGATTATCCACATTTATTTTCTTTTTTTTTTCTATTAAATAACCTTTCATCACCTAATTACCCATCCCTGCCTGCCTGCCTTCCTATGTCCCTGCCATGGCCCTACCATGGTCACAGCCGAGTTACCGTATATGAATACCAACCCGTGCTGCTCCTTTAAGTATTTGCTTTCTCGCATACTACAGGTACTTTTCGTAGTATAGAGAATGTTGCATAATGCTGCGGCGGAAAACGGCGATGTTTTTCCGCAGAAAAAGTATTGTAGTTGCCGCATACCGCAAAAGTAGATAATTCTTGTTCCCGAGTGAAAAAAAAATCCGTTCTGTAACACAAAGTCAGAATCCACGGTATGTGAGACCTTTATACAAAAGTAGAGCTACTAAAGCACATACCTTTCGCATTATTCTGACTTGTGCAATTTTGAAAATTCAGCTAGCTCATCGAGAACTAGATCTGCGCCATTCCTTTAAGCGTTCCATGTTCTATCAGTGGAAAAAAATGAAAGGAAAAACTTGGAGCGGAGTTTGAGCAAAAGTTCGTATATACGTATTTTTCAAGCGAAAAATACGCAAAAATTCTCGTTCTTTTTCTTCAAACAAATGTACATGACCCTTTTTAAAGATATGAGTTTTAGAACAGATTTTGCGTAAGAAAAGATGTATCTTCAAAAATGTAGTTTTGGAATGTTAACTTTTTGCAATTTTCGTGAACACAAAGATTGCTGGAAATGAGATTATTACCACCTTTTTCCTTGGGTACATAAAGGCCCATTCACAATGCAAACATAACATGGCGTTAACATAAGTTAGCACTACGTCCATATGCGGACTCATTCACTATGCGTTGGCACAAACATAACACGTAAGACGTTAATTAAAAGCTTCCAAGCTTCAAGCTTCTGTGCTTAGGTAAGACGTAAGAAATGAACCAATCACAGAACGGTAACTCAAAATCAAGAATCGAAATTGGAGCGAAGTCGATTAGAAGAAACTAACGCCATAGGGCCATAATAATAAGCGTAGCATATATATTTATATATATATATATATATATATATATATACACACACACGTATTTTCTTTGTGTTTCCTGCAGGTTATTAATTTTCATACCATTAGGAGGATATACACGGAGCAATTTATCAACCGATCTGATGAATTTGTTAGATCTCCGAAATTGTACAGATAAATCGTTTCGTTAGGGGACAGTAGAAACTAATGAAGATATGTGATAAATCACGGCAATAATTTGAAGCGATGCGTTTTTGTTGTTTGACATAAACAACGAATAATCTGCAGATAAATATCAAAATATTTGCAAAGCATGTAGGAAGACTCCGACAAAATTTTGAACTTGCAATTTTCGACAATTTAGCGAGTGCAAAGGAAACGTGACCTACGGAATCTATTTACGCATCTTTTGCTGTATTAGAGAAAAAAAATTGAAGCAATTTTTGAGAAAATTTGGAAGTGTCATGTAAAATATCCCCCAAAATCAGAAAATCCATTTAAATTTCAAGTGGTCGACACGTCAGCCAGATCGATCGGGGAATATCAATTTTGGTAAAAATCCGGCGAAAATTCGCCGTTTTTTTTCTCACATTACAATACCTTCTCTATACTGCGTACGTAGTATGTGAGAAAGTGAAAACCCCCATCTTCAATATTGAGATGTAGAAAGACGCCGAAAAATTTAAGACTTCGCCAATTTGAGAATAGTGAGGTATTTTGTCGAAAGTGAGATCTGTATCAATCTCTTAAGCTCTATTGGAGGACAAAGATTAATAAAAACATGGATCATTTTTAAGGAAATTTTGAATAGGTTGTTGAAGCTTGGTGTAACGTATCCCCAAAAATAAAAATATCAGTTTGAAACTCGGGGCCTCGTGTTCTTTGAAATCGATCAAGGAATATAATTGGAGAAAATCTACTGAACGGGTTTTGGCGCTAGCGTTGATCACGTCGGACGAGCAGACACGTTTTGCGTCATTCGATTTTTCTGTACCAAAATGTGTGTACCTTTTTTCTGTGAACATCATTAGCGCCTGAGCTGCACAGAGGGTTTTTACCAAAATTATTCCCTATTCGATCTCGATTCGAAAATGAGTAATTTTCAGTGACATTTTGGCAATAAAAAGGTATGAACACAGTATTTTCTCAATTGGTTGAAATTTGGGGATGGTAACGCAGATATGGTTATGAGCGGAGCGCAATTTTCATTTATTTACTCATTTTTTTCTTTTTACATTTTTTGCTCGCATGGAGCAAAGTTTCTTAGAATTGAATATGTCCGAACTGGATTTAAACCTCCGAAATTTGGAAAACTACAAAAGTTCAACCCTTTTTGATGCGTTGAGAGAGTTCGTATTTTTAACAAATGTCGCGGCACCTAGTAATCGGAACGGATCTTTTAATTTTTGTGGGTACTTTACATGTAGCCCCTATGATATTTAAACCGGGTATGGTGTCTCAGGGAATCTCCTGATGTACCGCAGGATTCGAGTCCTAACGGTGGCCGGATTTCCGACACTTGCTTGACAGCTATGTCGAATTCAACCGTTGACTGAAGAAGAACTCTTGTTGTCGGCTGCTTTAATCTGTAATTTTCCGCGGATTCCCCGATCAACACCAGGCGAGTGGTGTTGGAGCAGTACCATGACAATCGGTCCACGGATCGGTCAGCGCCGGATCTCGCCATCCACGGGGATGGGGGAATCACCGCCACCTCCCGCCACAAACACGCACTACCATTACGGGCCTAATGACTATAGCAGTTGAAAAATTGAAAAAGTTTAATTTTTTTACACTTTGCCTCAGCTACATTACTAAATATAGATGATATTTCTTAATGCAACCTGTTCTTGAAAATTAAATCTTTAAATAATGACATTAACATTTTTTGAAAGTATGAGTACTTCTTGCATAATTTTAAACGGAATCATGGCAATTTAAAAATACAAGATTTTTTGAGAAACTGCTGAAATAGTTTGGTCAATTGAACATAGTTTGGGATAATAATGTCACATAGGCTTTATTCAACACTTTTGAAATTTCAAAATTGAAAAAAATTGATATTGAAAACCCCTTTTTGATGAAACAGGTGAGTAGGTATCTTTAACTAGCTCATGTGGTTTAATTAATAGATTAGTGCAACTCTGATGGAGCCAATGCACACAAGTTCAAATCCCAGCCCGGCTGAAATTTGTCTAGATTGAAAACACTACTGTGGGTTGTACTTGTATTATAATATTACATAACTGTTAGAATTAGCATGAGAAAGTTTGTGATGTTTTAGAACCACTGTATTTAAACATGTCAGTCATTTCATTTCATGAGGTGACTGTACGTAATTGTTGAAAATCCCTTTTGGGTTTTAGTAACATATTCCTCTTTTTTAATGATGAAGAAGGGCAGTTTGACTTAAGCTTGCTTATTAATGAAATTGGCACTCCTTTACATTAAAACAATTCAAAACAAGTATTTTTAACATTGGATTGCTTTTGTGTCTCATCAGTGTCCAGTCCAGATCTAACCGATAGATAAAGCTGCCATTAAATGAGAGTCTTGAACCTTTCATGTTAATTATATATTTTTGACATGTAATATAAAATGAGAATTAATGAAAAGTAATTGATTTATATTTTAATGCCATTTCTCTTCCGCCTCTCCCGCTCTCTTCCGCCTCTCCCGCTCTCTTCCGCCTCTCCCGCTCTCTTCCGCCTCTCCCGCTCTCTTCCAAATCTCCCCCTCACTTTCTTCCTTCATCTCTTCTCCACTCTTAACTATGGCTTTGTTCTTTTTTTTATCTTCATATTTTAATCCTCTGTGTTGTTCTCTTTTCTGATTCAAATATATTTTGGATGATTCAGTGTTGATTTTCATTTTCATCTATTTTCATGCATTTCATATTTTGCATTTTTGTTTGGTCCTTAAATGCGCTCTTTCCAGTTTGGCTGAGCATTTTTTATCCTTCTGTTAATTCATTTTTTCCTCTATAGAATTTGTATTTATGCATCGTTATTGTAGAGTCATCTTTACATTAAAATTAGTAGTTTGATCTTCTGTGCTTTTAAAATTCTGAAGTATTTCTCAACACTTATTGATAATTTTCTGATTTTCTCTTATTTTATATTAATTAGTTCCCATTATTATGACAATGTAATAAGTTTATTCTTTCCCAGAAGCAGCAAAGAAATGTCCTGTTCTTGTGAAAGGTCTTTGTGTAGGTCGGTGTGTAGTTTTAAAGACATTTTATATTTTTATTGTTTTAAAACTGTGAAAAATGTTAGTGTGTTTTTGGAATCATTCGTTTGTTCTTGTCTGTAAAAGGCTGAGTTCATGATGAACTGGCTATTGATGGTTTGTAGGCCGTTATTTCAGCTTACTTGCCATTCCTCTGTTGCAGTGCCCCATTTTAGGGTAGGGCAAACCCCTTCCGGATGTGCACCTAACCTATACATCCATGTCTTACGCCGGATTTCAACCAGCAATCCTCAGTGCTTGAAGACTAGTGCTCTAGCCAATTGGCTACCAGGGCCAGGGTCAGCTGAAAAGAATTGGATGTCCTAAATCTGACTTGTGTGGACGTGTTCAAAATGTATGTGGGTTGGGTGTGTTAATTCTGAGTATTAAACTTACTTTTATTTACTTGCTGTAGGTAAACATTGATCTCGTGTTAATGCTTTTGTTTGGTCTGTAGCAGAAAGCTTATTTTTAGAATGGATAAGCTGTAAACTATTGCCTTTTTATTTGCTAGATGTCTGCTGTGTATGTTTATTTTATTCTATGCAATTCTTCAAGAGTTTATGTGTATTCTATATTTTACCTTCTTAATGACTCAAACATTGGAAAAAATGTGCCCTCAGTGATAATATTTATTTGAAAGCAAACTGATGTGGGCACTTTTACATATAGATATATTTGCTTTTTTTTTAGAATGTACTTTTCTTTAAGAAATATGTCAGAGTTTTTTTATCTTTGTACTCTTTCTGTTGTTTTATTTAAAGAATATTATTAATGCTTGTTTCCATAATTGTTAATTTATGACTGGATTAAGAGTATGGAGATGTTTTTCTTTCTTTTTGCTGTCATTGTGGTATGTGTATTTAAGATACTGAAACATTTATGTTGCTTGGTTATTGAGGACAGACTTGGTTTGTTTAATGAATAATATTCTGCCTTCTAACCAAACTACTATAAACTGTTGAAACTTATCAATTTTGTTTTTTGTTTGTGCACCAGGTTTGATTATCGGCAAGTAACATTACGCACACCCATGGCTCTGGAGTCAAATACTTGGCTTACATCAAATAATACAGCTGCTGGGGCTGGTAGAGAGCAACAACAGCAGCAACAGCAGCAACAGCAACAACCACAGCCACAACAGCAGCAGCAACCACAGCAACAGCAGCAGCAGCAGCCCCCACAACCACAACCCCAACCCCAGCAGCAACAGCAACCCCCACCTCCACCTCCTCCACAACAGCAGCAGCAACAGCAACAACAGCAACAGCAGCAGCCACCTCCACAACCTCCTCAACCCCAACAACCACCTCCACCTCAACAGCAGCAACCACCACCACCACCTCAACCACAACCCCAACAACAACAGCAGCAACAGCAGCATACTGGTGTTGTGAAGGCTCGAGAGGATGCTTTAGTTCAGGTCGCCCAACATAATCAAAACTTTGTTACGCAGGAGGATGTCAACCAGGGTCAACAGCGTGGTTTGCTTAAAATCCCAAATTCAGTTGGGAAATGCTCGATGTTTACGCAAACTGAGCAGACTAATAGGTATCTATGTTTTCTAAATACATTTTCTTATACATTTTTCTTGGCCATATGTTTTATTAATATTGTCCAATATTTTAAATACAATGATATTACTGGTATTTATTTTCATAATTTCTCTTCTTAATTTTAATAAAAGTCTGAATTAATATTGGTGAATTGTCAGGCTTGTAAGTTTGTTACAAGCTATATTATTATTGTTTGATGCTTTTGATCTCTAGTCTGAATAGATCTCAACCTAAGTGGAAATTGCAAGTGTCTTGAGTCCATTGGTGCTTTTGGTATGCTATTTGCTCTTGTATTAGAATTCTAATAAACAATATTAAGGTCAGAGATTTTTGTAAATTTTTACAAGAGTCACAAAAATTAACATTGTGTGCATTGTGTTAGAGAATTATCCTTATGAAGCACTATTCTGAGCTACAATTGCTAATATTAATGCAAACATATGGTTAAGGGACATCCAAATATAGAAATGTGTTATTAAAGAATTGCATGTAACAATAACTAATGTCTGTTTAATTTAGGTTTACCCAAACAGAACAGCCTTCTGCTCGATACAGTGGCAGTTGTTTAGAGCCTACTTCAAATGCTGTGAACTGTAAGACTGAACCAACAACTATTTTTGATCCTACAGCCATGCAGCAACAAGGCACTAATACACAAATGTATGCTGGAAATGATAAGAGTAAAGAACCAGACAAAGGCGGAAATAACCCGACAAATGAATTCCCTTTCTGCTACAATGTCAACATGCTCCAGAAAGTACACCAGCAACAGGGAGGTGCTGGTGTTCCAGTGGGTGGCATTGGAGGAGACGATAAAGGATGTTATCGTTTTGATGTTGCCCAACCTTTTAGTTATAATTATGCATTGGTGAATCAGATGTCTCTTGCTGCTGCTGCATCAACTGCAACATTTAAGTGTGATGTCTGTGGTCTTGCTTTCACCCATCTCTCCCTTTTAAACCATCACAAACGAATACATAATACAGCTAATGTATCAAGTGGAGGAACTCCAAACACCAATGCCAATGAACGTCAGTATACGTGTGATATTTGTGGTGCCAGCTTTAATTTACCTGGGGAGTTAAAAAGCCATAAAAATGGAATGCATGGCAAGAATAGTCAGAATCAGAATCAACAGCATACTCAAATGAAGTGCTGTGAATCTTGTGGTGTGGAATTGGGTTGTGATCATCAAAGTGGAAACTGCAGTCCTGGTAAAGGAAAGAAAAATGGTAAGTTTGTTAAGTGTGAATCATGTCAAGAAATGAATGCCCCTGCTACAAATGTGGGAGGAGCACCCACACCTCCTTATAGTGCTGCAAGTGCTCCCCCACCAGAAGCTGCACACAACACCGTTCTGAACAATCCAGGTAACCCCGGTAACCCTGGTAATCCAGGTGTCATTACAATAAAACCAGGTCATCATCCAGTGAAGCGCAGAGGTGTTGCAAGTGTGACAAAATGTCATAAATGCAATGGCTCGGGCATCATCTTCATTGGGGGAACACGTAATAACACAGGAGTTGATAAACCATTTCATTGCAATGTGTGTGATGGCACGTTTTCTCGGTATTCTAGTTTATGGAGCCACAAACGGTTGCACAGTGGGGACAAACCGTTCAAATGTGAGATCTGTGGTCTTGCATTCGCGAAAGCGGCATATTTGAAAAACCATGGCCGTGTTCATACTGGCGAGAAACCTTTCAAGTGTGCCGTTTGCGGGATGCAATTCTCGCAGTCTCCCCATCTAAAGAACCATGAACGGATTCATTCTGGTGAACGTCCATACCAATGTGAGGTGTGCGATAAGACGTTCGCACGGCACTCCACACTGTGGAACCACCGTCGCATCCATACGGGGGAAAAACCATATCGATGCGATGTATGTGGCTCTGCCTTTAATCAGGCAACTCACCTTAAAAATCATGCAAAGGTTCATACTGGTGAGAAACCACATCGGTGTGATATTTGCGATGTGGGTTTCTCAGATCGGTTTGCTCTGAAGCGGCATCGTAGCATTCATGAGAAGTATGGCCGAACATCAGCAACCAACACAAGCACCACTAATGCAAATGCAACTCAGAACAATAATCAAGGTGCTCCAAATGCTAATAATGTCAGTGTTAGTGTGAACAATGTCAGTGTGAGTGCTGGTACAAACACTAACCCTGCAGCTAATTCCAATCCTAACCAACAAGCTAGTATGGATGAGTTATATAAGTGTGAAGTTGGAGGCCCTATTGCATTTCCAGGTTGTTCACGACCACATGATGAGAAACAATGAGAAACAACCATTGCCATGGCTAGTAGCAACGTTTCAGGGCCCAGATATCAAGAACTAATTATTCAAGGAGGGTTATGAATATTTGTTGCTCCTTCATTCCCCTCTCCAGTAGACAACTAATAATTACAAATTGCCATATTGAGTATCTTGATCCTGATTTTAATAATTTATCTTGTGCCATGTAGAAATTTAGATTTAGAGATCATTTGTGTCAGAAAAAGGTGTCACAAACTTTACCCATTTTAAGAAATTTCAAATGTTTAACAAATTATGTAAAGAATCAACCTTTTATTAATGATTGGCCAATATCCTAATTCTTTACTAATGCAGGTGAGCAAAGCTAAAGCACTAGCGCAGGCCTGCCTGAGCTAGATTTAGGACATCATGTTGGGGGCCATTTCTTTCCTTCTCCTTTCCATTCTTCCCTCTCCTCTGTGAACATGCCACACCCACCACCATGTACCTAGTCTTCCCAGAACTGAGCTTTAAGAAGTATTGCACATGGCCCTGGTGGCCCAAGGGCTCCTGTTTTGAGTAGCTGTGCACTATGTGTTTGCCCCAGTTCTGTAAAATGTGTCAAGTGTGCTTTTTCTGTTTTTGTTGGGCAATCTAAAATGAAATTCTATTAGACACCATACTATATTGATTTGTCATGTGGCCACCTCGTTTGGAGCCTCTTGAATTGAATAGTATTCCTTATAGAGGGTTTACAAATTTTATTTTTGAATCATGCTGCCATCATTCATTCATATGATCAAGAGGGATACAGTGAAGTCTCACTATAAAGGCAGCTCCACACATTTGCTATTCGGTGAGTAGCAAGCAACCACTCGTCGAATCTCAAGATTGTGAATGAGTTGCTTGCTATTTGCCAAGTGGCAAGCATCTGGTGCTCATCCTACTCACCGTGTGTTGATTTTTTGTTCACATCAAAAGAAGCAAACATTGCCAAACACATCAGTTGTGCTGGATTGGGTGAGCTGTTTGGCGAATACCAAATATGTGGAGTTGCCTTAACAGTTACACCGGGGACTGAAAACAATGGCTGTTGGTGGCATTTCTGCTCTACAGAGATTCTGAGGAGTGTTCTATGAAGAAATGTCCATTCAGAGGGGTTTCATTGTATTTTGAAGACAAAGGAAAAAATTATTGTAAACAGGCCAGGTTAGATAGCTTTAGTTTCCAGGAAAAATTATGTTAACTGGTGAAAATCAACATAAAATATGTAAAAAGACTTGATGCAAGACTGTGTATTTCAAATATTGCTATTTCTTCATCTATCAGTCCCATCCATTTGTTTGAAATTAGTTCAAGGTAAAATACATTTGAAAGATTACATTCTGGTAGATAATATTTCCGTTGAGTGACGAATTTTCTTTCTTTTTTTCTCCTGGTGCTTTATTTCATATTTCTTACTTTTTATTTTTATTTTACTCAGGATCAAGATGCTTAATTTGTTGAACTTGTTAATTTAATTTGCGTATTGAGTTTCAATTTTGATGCAGGCCATAGAGCTATTTCACAGCAGTTTTAACAATATAGATTTTCTGAAAAATGTTGATGGCAATTGACACCTTATGAAGACCATTTTAAAAGTCTACAGCAACTTGAATGCCTGACAGCAATGAAGGCTTTCACCAACTTTTTATGGTAATAGAGGTGTTGGCAAATTATTGCTGGCCCATTTTTAAATGAAGTGTTTGAATTCTCCTACTTGTGTGTTAAACCAAATTTTATTGCTTCAATTCAATAAGATTTCTTTGCATTCGGCTAATTTTGTAATAATTTGTTTATGAATAAAAAACAACAAATTGCTAAAAACCAATCACGTATGTAGTATATTAGGGAAAAGTTTATAGTGTTTAGATACTTGTGTTTTTACACAGTCCTAACTAACTACTTATCATTATGTATTGTAGTTAAAGTCGTTAAAAAAATAGACATTTTCATGGTATTAAATAACAAAAATGTATTGTTATTTGGAGTGAAAGTAATATTTTAATTCTCCTTAGGAGTTTCTGCGACTGAAAGGAAGAGCATGACCCGAAAATACTTTGTTTTACTTATGCTTTAATGGTTAAGTGTGAATTGTTGAATTTCAGAAGAAATCAATTATTCTTTTTGAACAATTATTGTTTTTTCTCAACATTAATTCAACATTCAATAACAATTTATCTGTTATTCACCAATACTTTATGCTTTTTATAAATGAAACAAAAAATACAAATACAATTCATATTTAGTTTTTCATATACGTTAAGCATTCAAATGTAGAACAAAAATATAATAATTGAATTCATTTTCACATTATTACTCTCTGGCTGGCATGATGTAATGCACATATTTACAATTGAAAAATTTCTTGAATGGTACTTCTGTAACTGCCCCCCCCCCACACACACACACACACACACACATACATATCTTAAGCAGTTAAAATTCTTTGATTCTTATAATGGCCTTTGTCTATAATACTGAAGGCTACTTCTCTGGATTCAAGTGTACTCAAGGGCCTAATAATTCCAGTGGAATGTGTGCAGGACATGAACTATGCCCAGTAATGAGATTTTGTAATCAACTTCACATATTAAATTAACTCAGGTGCTGAGATATTTCTTCAGATTTCAGAGTGTGGTTCTAATTACTACTGAGACAACCAACCATGACCTACCATTTTCGGAGTATTTCAGATTTTCTCTGGAGATAAAATTACTTTTTATTTTTTCTATCTCCATCAGATATGCTATGGAATCTGCTTGGAATAGCCATGTCTACTAGCAATACCTCTTCTCTTTATTTCTATCATCGTTGTTGTTGTTGTTGTTATTATTATTATTATTATTATTATTAATATTGTTATTATTATTATTATTATTATTATTATTATTATTATTATTATTCCTGTAATTCACGACTTCAGATGTTATGAGTAGGTTGGTATCTACTCCAGGTTGCAACCAGCTTCCTAAGGAGCAGATCTTTGGGTTGTCGGTGCCTCTACAATATTTCGTGCAAGATGTGGGCTGCTCCCAATAAAACAATGTCTTGTACTTTCCAGTCTTTTCAATGACCTGCAAGTTAAGCCAGTTTCTTACACAAATTTTGTGGCAAAAATCCCAGTGCTTGATAACTATCGGTATGACCTGTCCATATACTCCCCACACTCGGCTGATCTCGATTTCCAAACTCTTATGTTTAAGACATTTCTGTCTCCTTAGTTACCACATTTTGGTCACATGGCACATCAACATCTAAAAGTATACATGTTTTTTTCTTCAAATCCCAGATAACAATATCCACTTTGTTGGCTGCTATCATGTGATCAGTTTGGATTTGTTGGTCGTACAAAATTGCACACAGCCCAATAGATGTCACCAGTTTTGGTGAGTGTTTGAACTTTTTGGAGCATGTGTCTGGACCATGAGAGTGCATTACAGATCTGCCAGTGGAGGTTATTACACACCTTATTGTGTCTTTTCAAGTATTCAGTCTTTGCTAGATTTGGACAAGATGAGACAATATGATTAATGGTTTCTTTGTGATTCTAACAAATGTGGCATTTATCATCTTGGGAAATTATTATTATTATTATTATTATTATTATTATTATTATTATTATTATTATTATTATTATTATAACATTGCAAGTACATGACATCATGAAAATAAGAAGTAGTAACATTATTTAAAAATGTTTCATGAAAGAAATTGTATAATTTTAAGTTCAGGAATATTGGCTGAATGCAAAGAACATCCTAGAGAAAAGTAGTGTATTTGGTACGTCTCAAGAATAGAGAAGAAATTAATCTTTTTATTTTTAGCAGTGTACTTCAATTGATGCAATGCCACTCCATCTATGGAGTATCTTTGTAGATGAAGATACAGCAAACAGTATTCCTAGTAGGCCCAACAAAAAGGCCGATCGACCTTGAATTACTGAGGAGAGTTTGTTCGAGAAAGGAATTTGCTTCACAAAAGTTAGGAACAGCAGGAGGCTCTCCTGTATTTGAGGAGACTTTGACCTGGGATATTTAATTCTGTAAGTGTATGTTAAAGAAGTTACCTATCTTAAAGTCACTCCATAAGCCATTCTTCCTCTTTTGATGAGAATTCAGGGAGTGTCAACTTCTATAGGCATACGGTTTGTTTTGAAATGGTAAGAGTTCAAATGAAATTTTCATCCAAGCAAATAGTACCTCTCAGTGCAGTTTTATTACAGTAATAGTTTCCCTCACAATTAGTGTTCTATTTTAATGGAATTGTGTTCTTTTTTTCACATTTGAAAGAATTATTAAGGACAAATTTGTTTAAGTTAATGTTACAGATGTTTTATGTCATTCGTCTCTCCTCCTTGCCTCAAATACAAGTGACCATGTATTGCTATTGGCCCCCAGTAATTATATTGTATCTTTGATACAAAAACATTCAAAAATTCACTAAAAATCTGCTAAAGTTAGACACCTTCGATATACTAAAATTTGTCTCAATTTACAACGATAGAAGGAATTCAGTGATTTTCAAAACCTTGTAGAAATTGTAAATAATTAGTGATTGAAATACTGTAAATTTGATTAGACACCATGTGGGAAAATGCCAATTTTAATATAAACCCCAGCACAATTTCAATTTTCTTGAATTTTTTCATAAAAATTTCCAGTCTAACATGAACTATTTTCTTTGGTATAGGAGAAAAATTTAACTCTTTAATCATTTTGCTTTTAATTGGTGTTGGAGGCAGTTCATTGCTGAAAACGGCAATTTCACTCCATGTATTTGTAATCATCTTTTGTGTTATGTACTTTGAACACTATATTCAGAAAGCCAAATTTCCTTTACACTTTTTCGGCTACTGATGCTGTTATACAAACTGTCAATAGCTCTTTATTGCTATCAATTGAGTAATCCATGAAGCCCAGTTTATTCATTATATTTTTAAAATTTGAATTTTTAAAATAGTTCATGTAATATTCACTTACATAAAAGTTCACTACCGAAAACTCAATAATAATGGATTGTCTCTTTTCTGGAACAAAGGTTTGGGGAACATAAAATGGTATCATGCATTTGTTTTCAGGAAAAAACCCTCCTTTTAAAAATTCACACTTACTCTTCACTTATGAAACTGTTTGTCAGGATTCAAGTTTGAGTAAGTAGTGCAAAATAAGGTTTGTCTCCATCAGTTATTAAGGGAGTCTTACACTCTGGCTAATTTGGACATAACGAAATATAGAAATTTGCATAGTGCTACTGAATGTTTTCAACTAGACATTTTTACTCTACATGAATGTAAGACAAAAGGCGGATGCCTAAATTGTAATGTGCTGGGTAGAAAAATTATTAATTTTGGATAAAAGGGTTATAAAGTTTGCTTATATTAAAAATCTTTATAATTTCACTTCACTGTACTGTAAATTAATGTGATGTTCATGATTATTTAATAAGTATTGTTGATTGGCCAGTAAGGGATGCACTGGACACTGAGAGTAGGTGCAGTTATCTTCTCAACCTCACATCAAGTATTTTACTTTTTCTTCCTAGATGCCACTACTTCTTGCTAAAAATTTAGACAAATAGCAAAAATGTCTGCCACATTTAAAGACGTGTGTGCTTGTAGTTGAGGACATTAAAGGATTTGTGCTTTAACTTTTAAGTTTCGCAGTAAGTGAGGCCATGTCATGGTGTTTTCTTTCTTTTTTTGTGTCAGGAGAAAACAACACAAGAACATGTCATGATTATTCTTTCCCTCGTTCTTCCAAATGTCCATTAAGTTCATAGTTCCATTAAAAGCGAAGTTAGTAAAAACTTACTGAGTAAAAATGACGCTTCAAAAATACCTACTTTCAGCTTTCTGTTCAAAATCTAATCTGCATTAACCACACCCATTACTCAAACCATTCAAAAAATTGTGATTCAACACAATAATGCTGTTGTGTAAATCACGTTTGTTGCAGATTCTGTTAATTAAAGTGTGTGTTTGAAAAGTTAAAACTTTTTTTTTTTTTTTGATTAAGGATAAAAATTATTTTTCTGATCCTGGGACAGCTGTATTTGGTGTCAATATTAGCTATTTCATTTAGTTTTGAAATCAGCATCACAGATTGAAGTAGAAATTTTGTTTCTTTTTTTAATAAAAATACATTCTTTCCAATCGTTCCTTCCTATATAATGGTAGTCTGCTGGAAAATAAATGCCACTGAAGAATGATGTGTATTATGTGGGCTACGATTTTCTCGATGCAATTGTGTTTTTAAATGAAAATATATTTTAGAAGCAGAACGTAGTCTGCAAGTCTTGTATTTAAGTGGATAGGAGTGAAAGTCTTTAAATTGTATTAATACACATATTTATTTCTATTTTCCCCATTATTTATGTTTCTTCATCCATTCCAGCCCAAGTATTTCAAAATATTTCTTGGTTTACTTCTGTTAATTTCATGTCAAATGAAACTAATTTCTTCAAATCATCATATAGATTATATTCAAGGCACAACTAAAAATAATTTTAATTGTCAACAAATATTTCTTTTCATTCTTTAAAGCATATAATGCAATTCTTCAAAATGTCTGCTGCCTTCACCAATAATGAATATTGTTGGAAGATATCCCTGTAGTCCAGTGCTTGTGTAAAGTAGTAAATTATTAAGATTTTCTGGATTTTTTTCAGGTGGATTTTGTATGTACCTTAAAGTTTCAGATTTTCTCAGAAACTTTTGTGTATGAACTGGAATCCATCCAATTCTTATTTTAATCTATGCAATGAGTAATTTGCTTGTATAAAATATTCACCACTTTCTTTTCTTTCATTTGTACTTGATTTTTGCTGCCCTGAGGTGCTCCTAGCCATTTTGATGTATAATTTTAAACGTTAGTAATGTGTCATTGCTACTGGTCATGTAAATTATTAGTGGTTGTTGTTAATTCTGTGCATGTTTTGAATTATAACAAATTCGATAATCTTGTGAATCTATTGCATATCTAATGCTGTCTATTTATCTTTGTGAGAACTAGAAAACATTAGTATTTTTACCAATATGTATCACACACATCATTCGTGAAATGATTATTTGGTTCCTATTTTTGATTTTCTTTTCTTAATAATTACCAGTTACTGTTCATTAATTTGTATATAAGTAATAATCTAATTTTGTAATGAGTGACTCGCATAATATTATGAGAGATAACATTAAAATTTCATTAGCAAGCATTATTGTAGCATATATTTTATGATTTGACTGTCAACTTGTGATTGGAGGTTAGAGCAGTTCTCAACTTTACTAGTCATTCTAATCTTTTGAAGATCATTTTCAAAGACATTTGCTAATTGGCTGAACTCACACACATGCACGGTGTGAAACTAACTTGCATTATGTTTTAGCTTGCCAGAATGCTATTATGCTTTGTGTAACTTGTATAATTGTGCCTATAAATTTAAAGTTTTAAATGTGTGTGTACTGTGAAACCGAAATGTATGTTTTTCAGCATAAGGTGTTGCCAATTTATAAATTATGCTATTTATCAGTCACTTTTATGATTCAACAAAGATATAAACAGAGTAAATGACTGAACTTGGTTAACAGTCATACACAAAACAAATGAAAACCCAAATGTTTCACCTTTTCCAAGAGGGTTTATTCATATAAAACTGACCTCAAAATAAAGGATATGGTTCAACAAATTCAATCTATGTATTGAAGATGAATCGAGAATTCAAATTTTCACTCCATCTGCCCCCCCATTTTATTAATTCAACAGCATGGGCTTGTCATGTTCACTATTGAAGAGATGAGGGCAACATAGTGATAACCCTCACTTTTAACGCTAGATGAAAAAAGTGTGTGTAAATCTAGGCATTTTTCAATTTGTGAATACACTTCCTGCTGCCTTATATACACATACTGTGGTTCTTTGAACGTATTTGTTAAGCATTTGGATCACAATGTTTTGAGAGAAAATCCTATCTTTATTTTGGATGAATGAATCATGAATTATTATTAGGTTGCCTTGTCCCCTTCAGTTGTTGAGCATATTGATCTTATAATTTGATAGATTGACTCTCTGTAGCAACTAATGACAATCATGTCATTGTGATCAAATATTGGCTTTAATTTTATCTTCAGTATTTAATATACCTACTGTGTAGCCCATGTTAAAGATAACCTTGCATGAATGGTGTTTTTGTGCATGTGCATGAGGTAGTATATGTGAAGCAGTTGTTGAAAGCTTGCCATGAGATATAATTTGCTTTCTGAAGTATAGACAAAATATTTGTGTATTTCTGTAGTATCACAGTTGTTGAGGCAGTTTGATAAATTGCCTGGAAATTGCTGTGGAAATAAAGGACATTCCGCATTCGTTTGGAAGAAAACATTTTTAGGTTTTTATTTCTTGAACTTGCAAACTTCATCATACTAGAAATTATTTTGGTTTTAGCATTGCTTTAAGTTAATAAATCATTGTTCTTCCGAGCAACTCGTGTAAGTGTATATTCATTTGTATTGCTTATTGGAATGGATGTTTTTCTTTTTCTAACAGCTTGCTTGCGTAATTGGAT